GCAATATTTCTGGTTTCATAGCTGCAAATGATTGACCGTCTGGAAGTCCAGATTTGAATACATTGGACTACAGTTTGTGCTTAGAGTTGGGGAACATGGCCTGTGGAATAACCCACTGAAATTTGGAGATTCTCAAGAAATCTTTGGTTCGAACAGCGTCGGCAATACCAATAGAAACTGTGCGTGCTACGTACTTTAAATCAATGGCCGAAACGTTTGAGGGTTTGTGCGAAAACAAAAGGTGACCATTTCGAATAAAATTTTGTACATCGCTCACTTAATATATGCGTTATTAAATAAAATTAACTTTATTAAGAAATCGATTATAGTGTCATTTTTATAACGGTCTGAACTTGTAACAGAACTTATGACAGGACTAAGTATATTTAGCGAATAGCAAATAATCAATTGAATTTATTATAAGTCAAAAGTATGGAAAGTAATTTCTAAATAACAAAGTGAGAGAAAACACGATGGACTTAGCGTACATTCAACTTAATGTGGACATATGTACTTTTGTATAGCCCATACATAAATAAATAGATATGTACATATATACACATCTATGATTATGCGCTTTGGCATTTCCTTATATAACGAACATACCATCCGATATACATACTTACATACCGATGTATCGCATTCACAGCAGAACATATTGAATTACTCGGCCAGAAGCCGAAGAAGAAGAAGCAGTACAAACAAAAATTAGAAAAAGAACAAGGTGCACTCCGATAAAAGAACAAAGAATGTCTCACATTTGGAGGGAAAAAAGCTTTCACAATTAACAGAACCATGTGATGCTACTTTTATTTTAGTTTCTCTTGTGTGTTCTCGGCAAATTCTCGGCCACCATATTTGATTATGTTGCAATGCACACACAAACACACATTCACATGTAGACACAAACACAGAGCTGAATCAGAACATAAACAAAACTCGAGCAGTGCAAATATGTAAACATTGAAATGTTCCCCATCCTCGCAGCGCATAGTTCGCTTCTCGCCTTCATTTCCCTCAGCCATGGACTCGTGTATGTATGTACATACATATGTATACATGGGTATGTACCAGTGACTGTAGGGTCATTAGACCGCGCATTCAAAACTGCGCGAGGAAATTTTGCTTGAAATTAAGAAATAATGTTTTATATCTGATCGTTTGAAAATGGAAAAGAAAATAATTGGGGTCTTTCAATGTCAGACTAATGCTCTCTGAGCGCAATGTGAGAGCGGATATTACTGCGTACACGCAAAAAAAAAGAAGGATACATATTTATATTTGAGTTTTCAGACAAGTCGGTTTAGCTTAAGTGCTTCCAAATTAAATAGGAAAGGCTCCGGTTCACAAAAAAATTATAAAACAAAACTCTGAAATTATAGAAAATTTGTGATTTCTGCATAAAAACGCAATTCTAGAATAGAAAAGAGTCGTGTTCAAGAGAGAGAGAGAGAGAGAGAAGACAAAAGAGTAAACCTATCGGTATTACTAAGTCCACAGCAATTATGTGAGAGGATTCGAGTTACGGCAGCAAAATAATTCCAAACATATAATATAAAAAATTTAATTTGCTAACAAACATTTCATCATGAAAATGATATTTTCAGTTAAAAAGTGCTCATAGAAGTCTCATAAGAGAAAAAAGAAACAAAAGAAGTTTTAATGTGTAGTAAACTGTTTCCGAATGATGAAAGGAGGATTCGAGTCACAGATGCAAAAAAACGAATTCTAATATAAATTCCAGAGAGAAGAGAGAGATATAGAGAGAGAGAGTCTTCAAAACTACAAATAACTTAGTTTTCTTAACAAAATGTCATTATAAAACGATATATCCAGTCAAATAAATTCTTATCGATATCACAGAGAAAGGGAGGGAGAAAGAAAGAAAGAGAGAGAGAGAGAGAGAGAGAAAAAGAAAGAGGAAGAGAGAGTCTTAAAAATTTCAAAGTGTGATAAACTGCCTCCGCATAGCTTAGATTTGCTCATTGGATTATTTGTTCGCCTAAGGAATTCGATATTACTAAGTTGACTATTGTAAAAAATTTGAAGTTCACAAAACTTTGAGTTCTTCTCAAACTCAACTTAGTCGACGAAAACTGTTCTAGCGGTACTTAACAGTCTTACAACAAATTTCAAAAGAAACTGCCACTGAAGTGCAATAAACTTATTATCAAAATTTTTATTTCTTTGAATCATGTCCGTACATACAATGTAAAGAAAGAATTACGTCAGACATATGTAATATTATTTAACGAATTTGGTGACGAATCAAAGGTTGAATCATTTCGGAACATCAAGTTTGGTCGAAATCGGACTACAACCACGCCTATTTCCCATATAACACCATTTTCAAATCCATCTGATTCTTTCACTTTCCACTATGCATATCAAGCAACAATGATTATATCGGGGTAAAACTTTGCGTGAATAATACGTTTAAAGTATGCCTTCTTGTGACCAAAAATTGTCTAAATCGAACCAAAACTGTTCAAGCCCCTAAGTACTAAATATGTGGACCCAGTGCCTATAGTTGACCTTCTACCGAAAATATCAGCCAATCCACAAAGAAATCTCAAACGAGTATACCATTTGACTTTGCGAGAGTATAAAATGTTCGATTACATCCGAACTTAGCCCTTCCTTACTTGTTTTCTTTAATAAGCGTTCGAATTTTCAACGAAAAAAGTAAATATAGTAAAAGGCAAGCTGGAACAAGATCAGCAACTCAGCGATTACTTTTAATTTAATGTCTGTGAGAACAACAATAGTAATAACAGCAGTAACAAATTTTCTAACAACAACAACAATGATATCTACATGCATAGTTACTTCTGTTTACTTTTAACTGAGCACTTTGAAGTGTACGCCCTGGACCTACAAGTACAGCCATTTCAACAAGATCACAAATACAAAGATATATATTCTTATGTGCTGAGGTGTGTATGTGCATTATGGTGTCATGATTAATGGAGCAACATCTGCCTCAGCACTTTTCTACGAATCGCGAACGCATTCAGTCAGATTACCACTGCTCTTTTTGGTTTTTTTTTTCGTATATTCTTTTACCTGTCTGCGTACACAGCGAGAAATTTTTGGAATAAAAACAAAAGCACAAAAAAAAAAGAAATTATTTATAGAACAGCACGCATTTGTCTATTCGAAGACCTTCCGGGTGCTCATTGACCAAGCAATGGCAAGAGGCAAAAGAATACTGACTACTAACACACGCCAAAAGGAGTGGTCTTTATTTAGTCCAAACTTCTGTAGAGCCAAAACTAAAAACAAATACACACATACATACATATGTATGTGCATATGACACACACATTCGTCTTCACGAAAAAAAAGAATGATAAAATCCACAGAAGACCTGATAAGATTACCTGTAATAGAGACGATAAGAATTGGAAGAGGCCAAAAAGTATGCACACAAAAATCAAAATGATTGCGCTGAGATTTAATGAAAGAAAAAATTAAATAAAAAATTAATTATCGGAAAAAACAAAGTGCTCTTCCAGGTAGGCCTTACCGCGCAAGGCGTTCCTGAACGCAGAAATGACGTGTATGTGTGATATATATGTATGTACATATATGGATATATGTATGTATGCAATATCTACTCAAATCTATGAACGTGTGTGAATTTGTTTTAACAAGTTAAACTCCAAATATTTTCATGTGGCTCGAACACGGAAGCTGATTCTTGGAAGAGCACTATAATGCGCTTTTATTTATTTAGACTTTTTGGTAATCAACAAACAAACAAACATACAAACAGCATACAAACAAACAAAAACAATTATAAAGCTATTAGCCCTCTTCTACGTGGTCGTTTGATGTTGCACCAGCGATTGCTCTAAAATGCAATGGAGTTGTAAATCTGAGGAAACACCCATACTCGGTCTTATTTGTACATACATATATACATATATTTACATTTATAAATTCGTTATTAAACATACACTGTGCGACAAAAATTTGTAAACCGGGTACGTGTGAACACACAAATAAAAAAATAAAAACGTTAACGAAGCTATAATAAGCTTCACAAAACTTTACTTACAAGAACTTTATTTTGATCGTTCAGTATAAATGACAGCTATATACTATAGTGGTCCGATCTGAACAATTTGTTTGGAGATTATATTATACATTGCTTTAAACAATAATCTATGCCAAATGTTGTGAAGATATCTCGAGAATATGACGTGAACAAAATTTCAGATCGATATCTCAAAAACTGAGCGACTAGTTCGCGTATATACAGACGGACGCTCAGAGTATTAATGTTGTGCAAATTTTTACTACATTTTAACATTTAAACACAATAAATCGATCAAAAACTAAGATATCATGACTATTAGACTTGTTTGGGAGCCCTGTCACAGTGGAATCTTAGCGGGGATTATGGACCTGCAGTGAAGCGAGCGCTGGTTAACAACCAGAATTTTTGCGGCTGCGAGTTCCTTCTGGCATAAAAGAGATGGCAGAGGCTCCAAACAACTCTTTGGATCAGACGTGTACCAAACAATCTGATCATTTTCCTAAAAGGCATGTCAGGAAGAGATGCTTGTCGACTAAAATCGAAACAAAACAAATCGCTTTGTCATCTAACACATTAAAATTGGCTCTGTGACGTTTTACTTCACCTGAAACTCAAAAGTATACCATGATAACCTTGGCATGAATCGATTTAGACCATAACAAAATTTCAAAAAAAATACCTGAATTTGCAAATCGAAGCTGTCTAAGTGAGATTTCGGTTAGAATCGACCTCTTAACCTAACCTAACCTAACATAACACCTCAAAATTTACTGGTGGATTAAAAAAAAGTTTAATATTTATATATATAATATATGTTATAACTATTTTAAGCCCACACTGTAGTATACCTATATGAATATAACTCAACGTCATAGTTAAAGGCAAATGCGCCGGCATAGCAATAGTAGTCGGCATATTACACCGAACAATCAACAATCACTTAGCGAGTACATACCTGCGAGTCGTTAAAGTTGAAATCACGCTCCGCTTGTATAAAGCCTAGGCAGCCGAGCCCGAACAGCAGCACCAACAGCAGCGTCGACGCTTTGCTTGACAACGCTAAATCAAATTTTGGCATTCGTCGCATATTTACACTGTTGTTGTTATTGTTTGCTGCAAAGCAATATGCGTGGAAGTGGAGGAGATGCCACACTCCTTAAAACTGGAAATTGGTTATTGGTGAGCGTGCGCTCGCGTAAAGATTTGCCGATATTTTTTGAAAACAAAAAACAAATTGTGAATAAATTAAAAGACGGAGATCTTCAAATTCTGTTAAGTGCTAGAAATTTGCGTCGATAGTCGTTTTGAGACAATTCGTAATTGCTTTAGCTGTGCTCATGCGTTCGTTTGTGTAGTTTCTCTGCAAAGAAGGGGTAAAATGGAAAAAATTAATGACAAGGTACAAACATATACACACATATATAATGACATAACATTCATTTAAATCTATACTTACAGATATCTACATACAGCTAGAAGGTCGAGCGCTTAATTACTGACCGAAATTTTATAGAAAAATATTACCCGAAAATAAAGTTGAGCAAATATCAGCACAGCTGTGCTTACATAAGCTTACGCACTTATTGCTTACTTATCTAGACATCAAATAAAAGCGCTTAGCATATTCTATTGCACATAGTTATTCTGTTAGTTCTGTCGCTAAACACTTCGATTCGCTATTTGCTCATCAATTTTTGATGTGATTTTACCGCCAGTCGGTTGGACTTGTTTAACTTCTATGGCCGAAGTCACTTAGCAATATTATTTGGCGGTAATGTGTCTAATGAAGAGGCAGGGGAAAGGCCTAATAGCTTATTCAATCATGGTATATGGATTTATCTCTATATACAAAATACAAAAAATCCAATATAAAATTAGAAAAAATCAATCAATAGATCAATTTATACAGTATTGTGCAAAACAAATGCAAAGGTGGTGGAAATTTATATTTGATAACAGTTAGTTTTATTACCAAATTTACTTATTTTCATTCTAAATTGATTCAATTATCTCGCAAATCCACCTATATTGTATATGATTGAAAATTAACTGAACGAAAATAACTTTATTCTTTATGAAAGCATTCGAAAAGAATTTTCATCCATTTTGACAATTTTTAGTAGAGGAATCGCTAGAAACTGCCAAGCCGATGAGCTAGCCACCTGTACCCCACTCACATCGGAGTGGAAACGAGCTATCATCTTGCGTTCTAGCACTGGACCTATGAACCTCGCGTGCGCTTAGCAGCTCCTGTGCAACTCCAAGATCCTTTGGCTCAAAGCGGTTACTCGATTCCCTACTTTTGCAATTTGCCAGCTCAGAACTGTATCGTAAAGGTCGACAGTATTGATGCTATACATAGTCAGATCATTTTGACACACGAGCGCTATTTGTGTTGTTTACAGTAACTTAAAATATTCATCTCGGTCAAAAAAATGAAATTAAATCGCGAACATTTTCGCGCGATTTATTTTACAACTTCCGACGTGGATTAACTTAACAACCGTGTATCGATGAACCAGTTTTTGGCGATGAAGCTCCATTAAGGACCAGTGTTTATCGATGGTATGGTGAATTTAATCGAGGTCATAGATGACTCCAAGATGAATTTTGTGATTGTGAAAAAATTTATTCACGTTTACGATTCCACACAATTTGTCAATCGCTTAAAAAAAGGCTCGTATCGATTGGTCGACAGAAATATTTCAAAAATTAGATAGCGATGTTTCGAAACACGTCTATGACATCGTGCCAGGTGGATTTACGCGTATGAGCCCGAAAATAAGCAGCAGTAGACTGTATGCATGTTTCCAGATGAGCCGCATCCAACAAAAGACATGCCGCTACGATACCACTAGAACAACGCAGAACAGTGTGGTACACAACCATTTGTTTGCCAGTAGTCTTTCAAGAAATCAGGAAAACAAACCACCGAAGACGAATATATATAATATATAGGCAAACCTCGTATTATTCTAGTGGATTCATCAGACTAAAATTCAAACTGATACTGTGATAACGATTTTACACTGCGTTAAGCTTAGATCAGATTCGTACATCTTGGTCGATTACACTGAGATTATTTTCAAAAATGCACTTGCATTTATTTTGCACAATACTGTATACTTAATAAACCTGTCATTTATAATTAATTTGATATCGTCGGGTCTTTACAAATAATATATTCATTTATATTAATAGGAATATCAAAAAACTATGTGACATTTGCCACCTTCTCAGTATATGTATTTATGCATATATAAAAGCTTTCGCGACTTCTTATAAAATATGCAGCAATTTTATTATCAATTATCTTCAAAAATATATGAATGGCAAGCCCTTATTTACTGAAATTGAAAAGGTAATCAAAATATTTTAAAACCATTAAAATAAAATGTATAAAAGTTGAAAAAAAATCTTCGTACCAATTTTGGTATTCCAGCCAGTAGCTGACACACAACTTTAATGTGTCAATAAAACACGCCCCGTACCAACGGAAATGATTTTATTACAATCGTTTGTATGTAAATGTAATTAATGCGTTATTCAACACTATAGAACATATGATTACTGCCAACTTATTTACATAACCACAATACAAAGTGGCAGAATGGCGCTTAGCAGTGGGTCAGAACTGATTATCATTAAACATTTGAGTCATATGCATATCTATTGTCGGAATAAATGTAAATATCACGCGAAGTTTTTATTCAATTACATAATATTATAATTAGATTACGATGGCAACCCTGTGATAGAAACAGCAATTTTTGTGTGCAATTATAGTAATCGATGAGGCTGGGCTCGGGTTACCACTGGCAGGTTAGCTGGTAGATATACTTAAATTATCTACTCTCGACCAAGAATGACTTGAAAAGAAAGCTTCAAGCCTTTATGCTATGTATTCAAAATACTTGGTGGTAGTCGCTTAGGTAACATTCCGTTGTTGTGTCCAAAATTTTAACCCTGTAATTTGGTAACCGAACACAAAAGAACACTCGCTGAAACAAAGCATGTATGTAAATCTGTTGTCCAACCAAAAGCCGCCAAGATCTTTAAAATACCAAGAAGCTAACAAAATGGAGCATAACATATAACTGACAACTAAAATGTAAACACTTTCAGATAAATTTTTTTAGGAGTTGAGCGTTCTTTTGACACACGCTTAGAAACAAAACAAACCTACAAGTTAAGGAAATTACTGACAGTTTCAAAATTCTCAAAAAAATTTTGAAAATATTTTCTGCTTTAAAACAGAGGTAGCTTGAGAGCAGCCGGTAAGACACGCATGGAAATAATAATATATGAGAGTCGTAAAACTCATCGTAACTAAGTATATTACAATATAGTAATAATCACATTAAATTGAGTTAATGTAGAAACCGTGAACAGAAACCCCTTTTTTTTAATATCAAATATAAACTTTTATTACATTAACATATGTACATATATACAAGTAAATATATTCATTTCGCTTTACGCTGACTAAGCGCAAACCTAAACGCTTTGTCCAACGATGCTGCTTAGCACCAGAACGACAGACACAAATGTATTAATGACTTTGACATCATTTCAATTAGCATATGATTAACATCGAGTTTCAATGTTCTTGTTTGTAAACAAAGGCTTTCGCTTTCATTTCGAGCCAGTTCATGAATCGGAGAGGCCTAATTTTGTTGATTCTTTTGATATTGTATAACCGTATTTACATAGAATAAAGTGCGGTATATTCATGTGTATGTATGCATTATATATTGTACAATATATATATCAATATTTAAATTTGGATCGAGACAGTCACACTTATACTCTAATTATTGCCGGTATTAGGTAATTCCAAAGCACAATTGTGTTTAAAATTGTATTTCATCGCAGAATTCATTGAAAAAGTTAGGTTATGTTACGGTTGCTGACTCTGAGAATATGTTATACGCGGTGAGATCTGTTGTAGAAAAATATAGAAGAGACAAGAAAAAAGGCTGAGAAGAAACTGGACTGACTGAGACTAAAAGGAAGACACTTTGCGGTGAACGGTAAAAATATTATTTTACGCCATTTAATATTTATTTTAAATAGTTCTTTCGAAAACTCGGCTGGGTGGAAAAGAAAGAGCTTTATTGTAAAACTCGAGAAAAGAGGTTGTCTAGTAAAAAATGTTAAAATGTTTTGTTCATGTCATTTCAACACCACTTTTATGACCAGTTAAACGTTACACCAATACCGAGAACTTTTATTTTGTTAGTCTTGGAAGAATCTTTACGTTTATCACTATCCTCAAAACAAGAATAACTAGAATGAGTAATAGATATGATACGAAGAATATAGCAAATGAGATTTGACTTTAACCAGCAATTTCTGAGGTGTCTCGTAACCTGTCTAAAAGTAGGCAAGAAAACACATCGGGAATTTCCGATAAATTAATGTTTACCAAAGTGCTTTTTCGAAGAATCTCGCCGGCAGTTCCCATTGTATAATAGATGCCATGGTTTATTGGTATTCGAAGCGTTTTAATACTAACATACTCCGAAATAATCTCGGAGAATGTTAAGCATTCAAGGACTACAATGATTCCACTATTAACTGACTAAAAGCTTTAGTGTTTATGTTTTTGTTCGAAGTAAAATTCAGGTCTTTAGACAAACTTTTCTGTGATTGTTGTGATCAAACGAAAAATGTGTTCTTTTTTTAAAGTCTGAGGTCATTTATATTCGAGATTGGAACTAACTATAATAAATAATTAATGGTTTTGTAATTGATATGAAAACATTCTCAACAAAAAAAAGAAAATTTAAAACCAATCTTTTATTCGCAGAAATAGCTCATGAAGTGAAGGCTCGCCGAAAATAACATTCTGAAATTTTAAAAATTTAAAGTGAGATTATGGAAAGAGCCCTACGAAGGTTACTCCTAGGGGCCGCGAATAATGGACTAGGTGTTAACCCAAGTAAAACGGAAGTGATGTTTTTCACGAATAAAACCAAAATGAATTAATTCAATCAATTAAATCTTCCCACATTCGGTGGTATAACAATTTCCCTGTCCCCACAGCTAAAAACTTGGGGGTTGAAACCGATACCAAACTGAATTGAAAAAATAACATTGAAAAACAAACAAATAAAGCGTATATGGCCGACCACATCTGCAAAAGAATACTTAGTAGGAACTGGGGCCTGAAACCAAATATAATTATATATGTAGATCCATAAGGCCGTAATTAGACCAATTCCAGTGTAGGGAGCACTGGTTTGATGACCAGCATTAAAGAAAACCAACAATTTCAGGAAATTAAATGGAAAACAGAGAGCAGTCAGTGCAGGGATTGCCGGGGCTTTTTAGTAAGGTCTGACGGGTGCGCTCAAT